AACAATAAACCGCCTTATTTCGGATAGGAAACGTTCTGGGCCGGCCCCATTGTCGTGAATTCAGTTTCCTGATTGGTGTCTTGCGTTCCATCTCCAAACAGCACCTCCGGTTCATGTTCCTCGCTCAGCTCTCCAGTGACGCTTTCCACATCTTCAGCTCTAGTGAATTGCAGCGACGCTGCCGTTGAAGCTGAGCTTGTCGTTGGCGGTGCCGTCGTGGTCTTAAAATTAGCTCCTATTGGTACTGTCGGCACTTTGATGGTGTTGTACAAGACTTTGTCGATGTAGAACATCGTTCCTAAATTGTAGACAAACACCTCGCTTTCCACTATGAGGGCTTCGTTGATACGCACGCTATCTATAAGCCAAGTGGCGATTAAAAGCCGATGGCAAAAACGCCTGGAAGGGTGGGATTACCTTTCGTGCGGTTGACGAGCAAAGTCTCATTTCCCAGCGTCATTAGAACGGTGCCATTCTTCAGGTCCTTATCATAGAGCCGGCCTTTTACAAAATGATTGAGCAAAATCTGCAAACCCTCCCCGTTCGATAGGTAATTATCGGGCATTTTGTCTAGACCCAATTCCTCAAAAGCGGTGTCAGTCGGCACAAAGAAGGTGTAACCAGCGCCGGATACATGCGGGGCCAAATCCGCCAAGTTCAGAAAACGGGTGATGTGGGTGAATCTGGAACATCACAACAATAATCAAGAAAATTACTGATGCGTTCAACAGGTCGAATCGATTTAACCAAACGACCGAACTTACCGCTTGTCTCTTTCAAGAGCCAAAAAGGCATGGGATAGGAATTGGGCCCCGAACCAGGGAAACGCCAAAAGGGGTGGCGTTTCTTTGTCCCTGTGCTGTTGGTGCAATTTTGAAACGACCGATTCGCTCACGAACAGGACTTCTCCAATAAACATGATATTGCCTTTTTCAACCGGGGTGTCTCCTTTTACTATCGCCGCTCCGTTCACGGTTAAGTTGGCTGGAAGGATCGGAGTATAATCAATGAAAATCGAAACCCCATTACATAAATAACAACAAGAGCATTCACTTCAACCGGATTGGTTTGGATTATATCACCCGATCCAGAATATGCGATGCTTTATGCACTTGGGTGGTTCATGACTGTGTCTTCTACTTTACACGCCAGACCGTTTGTTCATGATTAACAGTAACAGCTACAGTAATGAAAAAGTTGAACTAATTTAAACTCTCATATAAGTACTGACTTGAGAGTTGAAACTAATGGTTTTTTCGGGTTTTTAGGTCGTCGTTCGGTGGAATTTCTTCGTGACGTTTCGCAAGCACGAGTGGCTTGCATCTTCAGAAGTGGTTTGCTCAGGGGCGGATTCAGCTTTAAATTCAGGGGGGGTTATGTAGAAAAAATACAGTCTTCTGTTGTCTATGAAATTAGAAAAATTATCGTCGTTTTGTGCAAGGGTAGCGTAAGATTCCGTCCCGTTTTGCATGTTATTCGGAAGCAAAATGAGCAAGAACGCTCGTTTTTACATCATTCCAAAGAGAATTAAATTGCCTTTTTAGAACGTGAAGCATCGATATGGAAATGTTGCAGTTTTCTCAAAAA